CCTAAACCCTAAAACCCTAAAACACATAAGCTCGTTCCTTGCTCCAGGCCGCTGCCGGAGTGCTGGCGCCCGGTGCAGAGGCTCCGGACAAGCGGCTCATCGTCGGCTGGGACTCGATGGGCTGGGGGTGCCGTAGTGTGTTTTAAGGGGTTCAGGGGTGTAGGGTTATATATATATATATATGTAGAGGGTTTAGGGTTATATATATATATACACATATATATAGAGGGTTTTTGGTTATATATATATATATATATAGCGTTTAGGGCTTGTGGAGCTTAAGGTTAAGGGGGTTTAGGTATCGGTTCATGGTCAGTCTGTATAGACGCCCCGAACTGAAACTCCAAACCCGGTTTGGGCGCATCTTCCCCTGAGGACTGCGCAGGGGTTGTTGAGCAAGCTGGCGAAGAGGTCACGGACTTCCAGGCGGACGGGGAAACCCCGGGTTTTGACCCAAAGGTCAAAACATGATGCTGATATTAATTCCGATTATGATTATAAAGACCCAACATTCAACTATAGGTACTTTGGATCCTTTGGGTATGAGGGTGTATGTATGTGTTTAGTGACTGCTGAAGGCTGTTACAATTTGGGTTCGAGCATATCGGTTTATAATTTGACGTATAGTGAAAAAGCTCCACATGGCCATATGGCTGTTCGAGGGCTTCTAGGGGTTTGGCATTTTGTGAGGGCTCTATGCTCAGGGGTTTTGTGAATGTTTCATAGTTTCATAAGAATACGAGCTCAAGAAATACAGCTTTGAAGGTTTCAGGCACTTGTAAATGGCGTAGGGTAATGCAAGCCTTGGTGAGGTGAGTGTATTTCAGGATCCTGTGACATGTTCGCGTGTGTAAATCTGGAGTATTAATTGCAAGTCAGAACCGTCCAAGGTCAGCACTTGGTTGCCCTGGAGCTGTTGTTAGTCCTACGAGTCTTGTTGTTAGTCTTTTGTCCCCTACAGAAGTCACTTCCCCGGCTTCCAACCCCCTTGTTTGATGATTGCAAAAGATTTTGCGCCAAAGCTGAATTTGCAGCGATGTGCTTCGTGAGTAGAGCCCACCCAGCCAATAGCAAGCCCTGGAGTCAAATGGGTCTCATCGCCACCACCCAATCATGCCGGCCTGGGTTTGGCATAAGCAGGCCCACCAACTATGATAGCTGCATCAAAGTCGAGGTTTGCTGAAGCCAAATAGGGATCTGAATTCAATACCGCAAGACATGTTGGTAGCTTAGTGCCTGGAAGCCCTAAGCACTTGTTGCCAGCTTGTTTCAGTTCAACTCAGCTGATGACAGGCCGGTGACAATGTGTGGTTTGCAGGCGACATCACCAAGGATGGATGCTTTGCAGAATACACTACCATTGACGCGCGCTTGATCAGCAAGAGCCTTGGGCCCAAATCAACTTCCGATGCATGGTGACTCCATGGGTTAGTTTGATTGTTAGTAGTTGGTTCCGCATCAGGTGTAAGGGTCCCCTGTGTTCCGTGGTAAGGACGGCATACCACTTACTCTCAGCAGCTTAAAACTAAGCTCCTTCGCAAGAGCCGCATAAAGCCGCCCTGCAGAGTCCTTGTACCCTCTCATGTCCCAACAACGCGCCTTTTCTGACCGTAGCCTTTTTTTGGGTGGGAATCCCTATAAACCCTAAACCCTAAACCCCAAAACCCTAAACCCCAAACCCCTAAACCCTAAACCCTGAATTCGTAAGCGAGGAAGCCTGAGAGCATGAGCTTCGAGGATGCCGCAGCGCTGCCCCTAACTTTCCAGACGGCCTGGGAGGGCCTCGTGGAGCAGATGAACGTTGCTCGCAACGAAGTTTCAGATGGTAGCAAGATACCGTCGTTTCACCGCATTTCGGTTTCTTCAGACCAGGAAGACTAGCGGAACATACCACGTTTCAGTGTTTCGGGCAGTTTGTGGTGGGAAACAAACCATGCCCGGCTTTTTGAACGTGGGGTCCAGTCTTGCAAAAAAACGGCGAAAGTGTGGAGTAGTGTTCCGTGTTTTAGTCGAGGCGAGGCAAGGGGTTCAGAAGACGGCCTTTTATTTCATAAGCGCCTAGCTGCCCAGATCCTATACCCTACCTTCCAGACTGAGAGGTTCAAAAGGGCAAGACCATCTTCGTTCTCAATGGGGCGGGGGGACTCGGTTCCATCGTCATCCAGCTTGCAACTCGGCCTTGTTGCAGGGACATGAACAATCAGCTTCATAAGATAGAACGAAAAGCTATAGGGCAGGAGGAAATAGTAGCCGTAGTATTAGTATTTGTGTCGTAGTGTTAGTAGTACTAGTACTAGTACTAGTACTAGTACTAGTACTAGTACTAGGGTCCATCGCCCTCGTTTGCC